GTCTTTTTTTTTTTTTTTGAGATAAGTCTCACTTTGTCACCTCCGGTAGAGTGCCATGGCATCACAGCAACCTCAGACTCTTGGGCTTAAGCGATTCTCTTGCCTCAGTTTCACAAGTAGCTGGGACTATAGGTATTTTTAGAGATGGGTCTCACTCAACACCTGGCTATTTTTAGAGATGGGTCTCACTTTTCCTTAGGCTGATCTCGAACTTGTGAGCTCAAGCAATCCACCCGCCTCGGCCTCCCAAGTGCTGGGATTACAGGTGCGAGCCACCACACACAACTCCAGGCAACATGTTTTATCTTTGTATATCTTACTTTCTGGAGTGAAGCTGAATTTATTAAACATATTTGTTAAACTGAATAAACACATTATGTTATCTGTTTATATCTTCCTTTAGACAGAAACAGCAAAGTTTTTTAAGGTTATTTTATATGATCAGAGTCTAACACAGAACCCACCACATAGAACCATTTGTGGAATGAACATGCGATGTCTGTAACAATGGTTTTGTACTTATATATGGGAGTTAGATTTACACGAAGTATCTTTTTATAGGTCTTCTCTTCTCAACATGACCAATAGTCTTGAAGGTAGGGTTTAGTTCTTTCCCTATCAAGTCTAACAAAAATGTTTGATGATAATGGAGAAAAAAAGATGCATACCAGACTGTCTAATGTGAATGGTAGACTGTAAACATTTCCAAACTGTACCTGCAGTGAATTGTAATAGAAAGTGCTCTTAAGTAAATGACTCATTTTTTTTTTTTTGAGATAAGAGTCTATGTTGCTCTTGGTTAGTGCTGTGACATCACAGCTCACAGCAACCTCAAACTCTTGGGCTTAAGCAATTCTTACCTCAGCCTCCCTAGTAGCTGAGACTACAGGTGCCCACCACAACATCCAGCTATTTTTTTGTTATATTTGTTATTGCTGTTTGGCAGGCCTGGGCTGGGATCCAACCTGCCAGTCCCAGTGTACATGGCCAGAGCCCTAGCAGCTGAGCTACAGGCAGAGAGCCAACTTACTTTAATTATTATTTATTTTACTATGTTTTTTAGAGACAGAGTCTGATGCTGTTACCAGCCACTAAACAGCCATTTCATGCAAGGCACTGCTGGTCAGGTCCTAACAAGGCCAGATGAGCCTATATGCCACATCTGGACATCGCTTATTCACTTCCAAGGCCTACTATCATAGATAAGTTAGGGAATTAGACTCCGTGGCACCAGTCAAGGACCCAGGGTATTCTGTGCGCTCAGTGAAGTGTTGACTAACTATAGATTTAGTCTAGAGTAAAAATGTTTTGAGATATAACCACTTTAAGATAGGGAGATAATTGTGTAACCTTTAGCCTATGACATATTCTATAATGACTAGTAACATTACTCTGAGAATATAAGAATGATAAAGAGAAACAGAGCAGTTCTTGGGAGAAGATATCCACTCGCACTCTGGAATTGTTGGCTTTTCTGTAAATAAAAGTGAAACTGTTCATCTCTCATCTGCTTCTCTGTCGACTGGCTTGGGTGACAGGCAGATGGACTCCTTGGTCTGGCAACAATGTCATCACCCAAGCTGGCATGCTGGAGTGTAGTGACATGAGGTAGCTCAGTGCAACCTCAAACTCTTGGGCTCAAGTAATCCTCCCACCTAGGCCTCTCCGGTAGCTGGGATTACAGGCATGAGCCACTGCCTCTAGCTCAATTTTTCTAACAGGATGACAACTACAAATGAAACATGATCAGAGAAGAAAAAGCACAGGATTAAAAGGGGGATTGGTGTTGTGACATTTATCTGGTAGTGGCATCACAAACTTGAGGGTTTTTTTTTTTTTTTTTGAGTCTCTGTCACCCTTGGTAGAGTGCCATGGTGTCAAGAGCTCACAGTAACCTCAAACTCTTGGGCTTAAGCAATTCTCTTGCCTCAGCCTCCCAAATAGCTGAGACTACAGGCACCTGCCACAACACCTGGCTATTTTTTGTTGTAGTTGTCATTGTTGTTTAGCAGGCCCAGGAAGGGCTCCAACCCACCAGCCTCAGTATATGTGGCTAGCACCCTATTCACTGAGCTACGGGTGCCCAGCCAAGGTTTTCAACTTTAAATTAGATGACTAGTTATCTGTAACCAAGTACTATGAGAACGTGCTTCTACTTGCTTAATACCACAAAGTGGAGCACACGCGAATGAACTTTAATTGTGAAGAGGTTCTGGTTCTAGCCCCAACAATACACTAGATATGCAAATATCTACTGACAATAAAAAGGTCACTATCGCATGGGATTTTTATTATTATTAAATAAAAAAAATAGGTAAATGACGTAGTTTAGTTACTAGCATAGCACGCGTGGAGCAGGCAGCGAGGTTCCTCTCCTTTCTGTCCTTCTCCAGGGCAAGATGACGCGCGAAATAACTTACCTAAAGGTCTGATTTTACTTTTTCTCTCTTTCGTTGCTTTTTTTTTTTTAAGGTGGTGACGGGGTGGCGACTTTCAGTGCCAAATATTTTGAATGACCTATCACTAGACCAAGATCCAACATTAACAGCAAAAATACATATTTTTTAATTAGACCTGTTAATCACGCCCTCTATTCTAACTCGGCTCACAAATTCACGTTAACCCAGCCACAAAAGTCAGTTACGGGGAGCTCAAGCGAGGGGCCACCGTTCTCAAAGACACCAGCAACCTGGGCAAGTGCCGGGAGTGGACGCATCTGCTTCTGCTTTTGCTCAGTATAGGGTGGAAGCGGGAACTGCGACGCACCGCAGTCCTTCCCCAGCTGCCCTACAGCCGCGCCTTTCAGCAAAGATGAGCTCGGCGGTATTAAGACCGTGATCACGGTCGCAGCCGCAGCCACCGTCTCTCCTCACCGACCCGCCCACCTCGCCGAGTCAGGCTCTCCACCTCCCGCTGGGTTTGGTCCACTTCTAAGTCCGCAGCTCTCTGCAAAAGAGCAACACAAAGCTGGCAAGCATAAGGCCCACAGCTGGAAAAAGCTGACATCTTTGCCACGGTTCTAATCAGCAGTACCACCAGCAACCGGGCCGCTACCTTCCACTTCTCCTTCCGCTTGCGATTTGCTTCCGCTTCCGGTTTGCTCCGTCGGGAGGCGCTTTGCATTGTGGGAACTCCTTCCTTTCTGGCTCCCCGGCCATCTTGGCGGTTGGTTCTGGTGAGTGGGCTCTACCGTACCGAGGTTTAAGCCCCGCGGGTAGCCTTGTAGGCTGCCGTTTGGAACTTCGGATCCTAAACTTACTGTCTTGTCCTTCGTATGTTCTAGGTTGGGGGCCGTCCCGCATCTAGGGCAGGAAGATGGTGGCCGCAAAGAAGACGGTGAGGTGGAAGGCCGATTCACGTGGGGGAAAGACTATGGGCCGGGGCGGGCAGGCGTCAGCCCTTTGGGGCAACAGACTGACATTTGGAGGGTCTCAGAGGGAACCTGAAAGGTCAGCTCAATGTCTTGCGGCCCTCGACTTCGGAAGTTTTATTAAGGGGCTGGAATCCAGAAAGCTGGATCTAGTTTTGAGGTAGTTGCAAACCAGGCCTTTAAGTCCCTCTTTAATGTTTGCTTTGTAGAAAAAGTCGCTGGAGTCGATCAACTCGAGGCTCCAGCTCGTTATGAAAAGTGGAAAGTATGTGCTGGGGTACAAGCAGACTTTGAAGATGATCAGACAAGGCAAAGCGAAATTGGTCATCCTCGCCAACAACTGCCCAGCTTTGAGGTAATTGAAGGAACCTGAGCTTGCGTCGCCCGCTGCAAACTCATCGTGAGCCAATATCCAGTACTGTAAACTTGTGATTTGGATGGCATAAACTCGATTTTATGTGAAGTTTATTTTCCACCCGAACGCTTACAGGAAAATTACTAGATTCTTATTGTGGTATTTGGATCTTGATTTCACTACACGCCCCATCATGTGCTTTCCCTCTGTAAGCTTGTCTTGGTGGAGAAATGTATCAGGAGAGGTAGAAACAGCGGAACGTCAAAGAAAGGTTGAGGCTGGATTGTGGAATTGCAGGGTATTAAAGAGTCAACCTGTTCTATCAACTTTTTGAGGCAAGATTTCTGCCCACCTCATGGGTTGGAAGTCGAACTTGGTATTGTAAATAAGCAGAAAAAACTTGGACCTTGCAGAAATGAATCATGTGATTAGTCCCCTACCCTGCTTGATTTTCTGTAGTAATCCATAATTCGCACACAGCATTTTGTGCGTCGTTTAATTTATCTGTACTTACTGGCAGAGTTGGTACTGCTCTCTCCAACCCATTCCCATAGTTTGGTTGTATTCCAAGTCATTCTTTCAAGCTTTCCTTAAAGCTTACTACTTTTTATAGGAGTGCTTCTGAAAGGTAGCTGTGCAAAGAAGTCACATAGGCTATTTTGTTGAAATGCTGGTTCTGGGGCGGCACCTGTGGCTTAAAAAAGTAGGGCGCCAGCCCCATATGCCAGAGGTGGTGGGTTGAAACCCAGCCCTGGCCAAAAAAGAAATGCTGGTTCTGACTCTGGATCTGGCACCGGGCTTGAGATGACTTTAGCGCTGAAATGTTAAGTCTTTGAGTTAAAAATGTATCACTCAGGTAGGATTCAGAGCACTAGTGGGTGATACAAATGGCTTATTTTTTAAAGATAACTTGAGTTTGGGTTCTGGATCTGCCAGTTGTTATTCTGTTCTTTGATTTCTTCGTGAGCTTAAAAAGTGTATAATACCTGCTTCAGTGGTCATGGGAATTATGTAAAGTGTCTAGCAGTTAATGCTAAGCAAATAATGCTTTGCTTTAATTTATTTTGCATTCTGCTCTGTTCTATGAACATAGGTACCGTTGTAAACATAGTAGGTGTTCAGTAGGTGTGGTTGTCCCATCACTTGTGATGGACTCAAGGGTTGGCATGTGTGGTTAATGGATGTGGTACTGTGTTTTTAATAGTAGTAAGTGGTTTTGCTACTGTTTAGAGGCCTCACCTTTGTTAAAACTACTTAGTCTGTCATTCACTTGGTATGAGCTTTATTTATTTATTTTGTTCCCAAAGGAAATCTGAAATAGAGTATTATGCCATGTTAGCCAAAACTGGTGTTCATCACTACAGTGGCAATAATATTGAATTGGGCACAGCATGTGGAAA